CCCGAGGGAGCGTCTGCGGGCGGCGGTTTTATAGCCCCGCGCCCCTCGCTGGCAAGCGCCTAATAATAGGCAGTGACAGGTCTCCGGGCTGCAGGAGCGCCCCCGGGCCCGGCCGCTCCTCCGCGCTGGGTGCGGGCTGCGCGGCCCCCGGGGCAGGGGGCTGCTCCTCGGTCTGCTTTGTACACGCCTGGCGCACGACAGCGCCCCTCGGCCCTCCCACCGTGACCTTCAGTCAGGGACACTCACAAGCAGGGGCCTGGGGGGGTTTTAACCGAGGCACAGAGCTCTGCCCCTGCACCTCCTGCAAGGCCGGCCCACGGCTAAGAGGAACACGTGCGACTTTGGGCCAAGATAGGGCATGGGCTCAACAGTTTTCGATTATGAAAAGTGAAAAGACAGATTGACAATAAAATACATCTATATATGTCTATAAAATACCTCTATATAGCGTATAGCCTGCTGATACAAACTCTTATATGATGTGTTTCCATCTTTACAACTTGTTAAAACTGGTTAAAATTCTGCTTTTTTATGGAGGTGTTACTAAAGCAATGCTGGTTATGAACTTGGGAACTACACTTGCTTACACTGGGGCGAGAGCATCTTCACTCTACTAGTGGGAGATGAAGGCCTAGCAAGAGGATATCAAACTCCTTCGCAGAAGAGGGCTGGATACAATATTTAGTTACAGTCTGGGAGATTTTTATGATTTTGTATTCCTTCACCCTCAGAAAATCTCCTACTGAAACAGGGAAGTTTGCATCAGAAGAGAATGTATAACCTATTACCAAACATGGGAACACAAGGTATCTGTAAACTAGGACTTGAAGGGGCTTCCTAAACCACTGAGTCCAGTCCCTTGCATTTGCAGGCAATTGTTGACCAAAACAATCCCCCAAACAACCACTTCAAATCATCACCCACAACTACAAGGAGGAATATCCAGAACACCCTACGATACACCAGAGCAGAAACACCATGTCCTACCATTCCAACGTCTGAAAAGAAGTTGGTTAATACATATTCATTGGGAAAATATGCCTGCCTTTATTTCTGATCTTTCTTTCCTTTCTTCTTCCTTTTGTACAGCTTCTGTTCCTCCCCACCACCCCCTTTTTTGCATTTTCTATCCTGCAGCAATTTTGAATTTTCTCTTTAGGATTACACTCCTCCACCCCACCTCCATCTCTTACGAAGTGTCATTATTAGCCTTAAAGTTGAAATGAACAGAAAATAAAAACATTCCCCTTTTGAGATTGAGGCAGGCTTCATGACAGTATATTACATGCCGCACGCATTCAGAAAACTATCAGCAGCCTTGAAGGCTAAAACCCTTTTTTAAAAAACAAATCTTTACATTTTGCCCAATATCACTTATATTAATATAGCACCTAAGATCCCCACTTATAAATTGGAACTCTATTGTAGGAACTGAAAAAGCCCACCAAAAACTGTCTTAAGGACCTTATAGGCTCATAAAAGAGACAATAGCCTATTATACAAAGACATGAAAGTACGTGATTCAGGGGTGTATTTGGTAGCGGTATTGGTCTGAGACAGAAAGAAATGCAAAACTCTAGAATTCTTGGTTCAGAAATGCTACTTGTTATTAGACCAACTAAGAAATCACAAAAAAAAAAAAAAAAATCTTTCTTTGCAAGCTTTCCAGCATATGCACCCTTCTTCAGACTGAGGACAAATCCAAGACTGTAAAAATCCTTTTAGGCAGAAAATAAACTTTATTTTGCACAGGGGAATTTTTTGTCCTCAGCCTGAAGGACGTGTGCCCGTGAAAGCTTGCAAAGATTTTTTTTGCAATTTCTTAGTTGGTCTAATAACAAGTATCATCTCTGAACCAAGAGTTCTAGAGTTTTGCACTTCTTGAAAGTACATGAGACACTTTATATGTCAACAGCTTAATCACTGCCTATGTTAGTCAGACTACTTAAATTCATCTTGTGGGGCATAACTTGCCTGTGGGCCATATGTTTGACATCCCTGGCCCAGAATAGTACTTGCTAGTTTTTGGTTGAAAAAGGAGTAACAGTGTTTCAACTTCAGGACTAGAAATACTGATTTGTTGTTTGCCTACATCATACTGAAAATTGTGCATTGTTTAACAAGTCAAGACTTAAACAAGCAGGTCCATAAAATCATTTTAAACCAGAGGACATTCCAAGCAGCTTCCACTTCCTCTCTTTTTTTTTTTAATGACTATATTCAAAACATACTTGTATACCTACCAGATTAATTTGGATTGATATTGGCTGCAAATAAAATGTGTTTGCATTAAATTAGTAGGAACAAGAGGGAACACAATTCAAGTTTGGGCATGTTAGAGAAGAATCAGGCTTACCCAACTATGGTTAAGTTGTTAAAAGTCTTTATATGGGAATGAAGAAGAATGGTGAATGTTACTTCTCTCTCCAGGTCCACAGCACCAGAAGAAGGTATTGTGTATGACTCTAATAGAAAAGTAGAAGTAAAAGCCATTTTTCCAAAATAAAAGTTACCCCCAAGTTACATGTATGGCATTTGTTATATTTGAACTTATTCACCATAAGTCATCTAACCTGAAATTTCTAATTATTTAACACTGAATACAATGAGATAGTTGTGCAAATAAAAAAAAAATGTTGGTTTATTAAATAAGTGCACTGTACAGCTCAAAGTAATTTAAAATTATTTTTCTTCCACAATAATTTATTTGAATTACTTTATTTGATACATACAACTGCAGTTCATTTAGGCAATATAAAGTTCACAAATATGCTTACAATTAGCCAACTTGAGTTGATACATGTTTAGTCTGAAAGACACAAAAACTGAAACCTACAACAGTGAAGTAATCATTAAGTGATATTATTATTACAACTGAATGATAACTAATAAATGTTTACATTTAAATCCTTGTATCTTCCAGTGTTTCTGACTGACCTAGTAGTACATTAGGGCAGAATAAGATGCCTTTTGAACTTAACTTGCCATTATTATCATAGAAAGTTGCATTCAAACTGTTTAAAGAATTAAAATATAGAACATTATGTAGAACAAGTCATAAATTAATTTCTTATATCCAATTATGGAGCAAATAAACCATTCATATCAAGTACAGTAGTAGTCCAAGCGCAAATGCTGTAGTACAACTTCAGCATTTCTGCTTCCCAAGGTAGCAAGCATTTGAAGCACTTCAGATATGTGTTTGGTTAGCAATAGATATTTTTATGTACCTTCCTCCAGCCAACTAAAATAAAATTAATGCCTGGGTTAGGAAGAGTTTAATTCTCCTGTCATCCAGCTTAACAAGAACTAGAATGGAAAAACATATTACAGCCCAGAATAATTGCATCATCCCCCTCCTCTCCATAAGTGTTTGAAATTTGTATCAGAAGTTACATGATCAGAAATCCTTCCTGCAAAAATTTAAGTGAACAATTTGGTGGTGATGGAAAGGCAAGATTAGTGACTATATCATGTTATGAGAAATATCTGAAACTGATTTATAGCTTTACAACAAAACAAAGGCAGTAGCTGTTATATTACCCACATAAAAGTTTGAAAACAAGGGTCACAAAATATGGTCATGTAAGGAAAATGTCAAATAAAAGAGGAAAGAGAAATCAGAGGTTAATATTAAGTTAGAACTTCCCTAATTCTAGGTTATGGTAATAAGTAGGGCTCATTAAATCTCAGATGTTTGTGCCAGCAAGTTAAGATGCTACGCACTGTTTGTAATTATTATTTATTTTTTTTATGGAAGCATATTTAACTTATTGCCCCATAAACAATCAGATAGGGACATGTTAATATATTCAATTGACTAAAAGAATATATTAAACAAGGTTTTAAGTTCACTTTTCATATTTTTACTTTTTAAGTTATGATAAGAGCTGGGCAAACAAATGATGTTTTTGCTTCCTTGACTGTTCTGAAACACTGAAAAATTGTTTTTAACCAAGCACAATATTTATTTAACCAAGCACTTTAACCAAGCACAATATTTTTTTGGCAAGTTGAAAACTAATTTAGGATCAAATGTTATATTTCATTCTGAGGTGTTTGTACCTGATTTTAAATAAGCAGAGGGAAACCTGGAAATTGAAGGCTTTCATTCACAAGGTAATTCTAAGTGTTGTTAACAAAATTATGGTGCTGCATGTTTACCTTACAGTACAGTGTCCAGGGCACACTTTCATGATGGAGACCTAGATTCCAATTCCCTTTCTGCTTGATTTGGAGAAGGGGTTGGAACAGAGGTAATCACTTCCCAAGAGCTCATCCTAATCTCTAGATTCCAGGGTATTCCAGGTCTTTCCTGGTAAGGCTGTTCAACTTTTCATTAAATACTTAAATATTCATTGGGCTAGACAAAATGACTAGGAGGCAGGTTTAAACCACTCACCTCAGAAATAACAGGTTACAGTCTTTGCTTCAATGAATAACTATTAACACCAAATGACACAGATTTATTATCAGGAGGTGAGTGTAACTTGAGGGTGACCCATCCCAGTAAATCCTGAATGAGGCAGGGAGGAGCTTTGAATCTGAGTCTCCTAGTCTCCTAATTGTTGGGCTAGAAGGCTATCATCGCCACCATTATATCATCCCTAACTTAGTGAATGCCTTCCAAGTTCCTCTTTCAATCTAACAAAAAAATAAGCTTGTATTTCCTTTTGGAAGTGTCCAAATGGTTTGATTAGACATTTTAATTATTTTAATTTTTTTTTTCTTGGACAAAACCGCTTTGCCAAATTGACCTGAATCTGAATAGTACTGGCTGCTTTGAAGCTGCATTTTTGTAAAGTAATAGATTTGCTGAAATAATTGTACTAAGCTCTGCTCGCCATGGAATATTACACCTGCCACATTTTCAGCCTTGAAGCTTTAAATGTCAGAACCTAGGACTTAAGAAATTTAGAAAGCTATTTCAAAAGATAAATTTATTCTAGGCTCTGTGATCTTCAGATGTTGGATTATCACTAATTCTTTTAAAGTTCTATGCAAAAGATGTTCTGAAATATCCAGGAAACATATTTTTCCTCCAAAACTATATCTGAAGATTCAAAACAACAACTAAAAGTTTCGAGCATCAGTTTTGTATGCATACGTAGACAGTAAGTCATTTGCCAAAGCTCAAATATTTATTGGTTTTTTGGGGGTAAGCGGAGATTGAGAAAGATTTTAAACATAAAGCAACATGTTTTTCAATACTGGTTCATGATTAATAGATTTGATCATCTATCCTTAGTTAAAATACTACATTTAAACCAAGAATGACAATAATTATCCCAAAACTATCATTTAAAGCAGGGGTGTCAAACTCATTAGGCCTTGTGGGCTGGATAAGTAGCCCTGGGTGGGTACTTTGGCTGGATCCACCCTGAAGACTGGTCCTGCATACTGGATTCAGCACATGGGGAAGGTTGGGTGCAGTGCTGCAGGCAGCCTGTGATCCAGATCGGCCTGGAGTTCAACAGCAATTTGTGACCCAAACCAGCCTGAAGTGTAGCCAGAAGCCTGTGACCTGGACCTGCCCTGAGCGCAGTAGCAGGATATACTCTGGACCAGACCAGAGTGCAGCAACATGCACTCTGGACTGGCTCCATGCATCACCCACAATGCGCACCAGCCCAGCCCCATGCTTCCCAAGCAGCACGGGGGGCTGGTCCAGTGTGCACCACAGCAGTATGCTGGTCCAATCCAGGACCCAGGGGCAGCACCAGGGGCCAGATTATAGGGCTCTGCAGACCAGATCCTGTTCACAGGCTGCATCTTTGACACCCCTGATATAAAGTTTTATGAGCTCTAGAAGGATGATTTTTAAACCAATGTATTGATTAATTAAAGTGTCATTTATTTTAGATACAGTAAATAGTGATCTCACAATAGTGATTTCAAATGTAAATCTCAGTGATGATTTCTTTACATCCATTAAGACAACGTCAATCTGCATTTACATTTTTCACTTAAATTACATGATGAAAAGTTACATGAACAATGCATATTGGAAGTCATTACTGCCCAAATGGTGACTGCATTTACTGCATCACTCCATTATGCTTCAGTATAAAATGACAACCTACACCCGCACAAATGCAATTCAGGGAAAGTTAAACATGTCACTGCATGTATAATTATTTTATTGCATCTGTCACATAAATTGAAGGTGGTGTATAACTTGTCTGAAACACTTTCTAGGTAGAAACACACATGGTAGAGCTTTTAAGACTTTGTTCTGACAGTTTCATACAATGAGACAACTCCACTTACCATACATTAGCTTCACTCAGAAATAATCTGTGGCAAATGCACAGTATTCATAAATTTTATCCAAGTATTGCAGAAAAAAAGCTTTGGGATACATTACATGTAAATACAGTGACAGCTGAGCTGTATTTTTTTTTATTTAATATGTACAGTAATATGCTTACCAGTTCCTTCCCTAGATGTTTTTCTTTTAAACCTCCCTGAGTCCATTCTATATTTAGTGACATGGAAAATTTCAGATGCTTGCTCAATAACAGTAATGATAGCCCTGGGTGAGGGGAAAATCAAGGTGCATGTGATTGTGTGTGGTCATCTTTAAGCTTATTGTACTTTTGCTTCTAAAAGCCCAGTGGCCACGACATGCCCATGACCACTTACACAACCACTGACATGTCTCAGTGAATCCGCTCCAAGGTAGGCCATTAAAAGTTCAGTGCGTCGGATTAGTAATTGCATAAGATCTTCAGCTAAACTTTCCATAGTTGAATACCTCACTTTTTCAAAGTCAAAAATGTCTTTGAGGAAGAAAAGTACTTGATCCTAGTGAACAAAAAACATTAACGATGTGCATTTACTTTTATTAACAACATATCTATATGTTAAAAATCAATCATACAATGTTACACACATTTTTCCTTCCTTATACATAATCTTTCCCAATCACATATAAAATGCTCTAACAATTTTTTTCAGAAAGTAATTTCTAGTAATACCTAGAGACATTCACTTATTAATTCTCTTACTATTTAGAAAAGCATTAAAAATAAATATTATACAAAAATTCTTGGCTCAAAACCTACTTAACAAATTAAAGTAGGCACAGGGGGGGCACCATCATACATACAGCTGGTTCCACTGTCCCTAGGCATGCTGTGGGGCTGGGGCAGTACAGCAGCTGACTGCCACAGCAACCCTGCTGGCAGCAGCCCCACTGCCTGGGTACCCCAGCTCATCTGCCCTGCACCCACTGCTGGGGGTGCCGAATGGAGCAGGTGGCCAGGGTCTCCATGGAAGGGGCCACAGGCAGGTAGGGAGTGGTATCCAGGAGCAGAATGGACAGGTGGGGCCAGGATTGCAGGGTGGTGACAGCATGGGGCTGAGGCCAGGGCCCAGAGCAGAGCCATGTCCCTGCGACAGGTGCCAGTTTCAAGGGCAGGGCATGTCCAAAGCAGATCGCAGGTCTGCCCTGGGCCCTGGCCCTGCACTGTCACCACCCTGCAATTCTGGCCCCAGCCTTGATCCCTGGATGCTGCTCCCTGCCTGCCTGCAGCCCCACCGGGCCTGTCTCCACGGAGACCCTAGGACAGGGCTGGGATTGCTGGGTGGTGATAGTGTGGGGCTGGGCCCCAGGGCAGAGCCACTTAAGGACTTTTGGCGAGCTGGGGGGAGGATGGGGAATGTACTGACCCAGCCTGCAACAGCTCACCAAAACTCCCTAAGTGGCCCTTCTGACCTAAAGAATTGCCCACCCCTTATTTACAGTGTACTCAGCAACATAGGTACAGACTGTTTCTACAGTACAGGGACAAATCAATCCTTTTTAATTTATGATACAAGATTAAATTAATCTATGGCAAAATTCTGCTGAAAATCATTAGCATAAACATTTGGCCTATTTTTATCCCAAATTGCAATTTAAAAAAAATACTATTTTATCTCAGTGGTGTCCCTTTAAGTAAGAACCTCCCACCTGCTAATCTGATGGGTGGTTTTCTTATGTTTGATAAATGATTGCAAAACAATTGTATACCTTAAAGAAGCAGCATAAATCATATAGAGAGTTTCTCGGGCCCAGAAATCCCCATGCCAAAACAGGGCTGATATGCTCACAAATGGCATAGAAGTGTGCAAAAAACCCATCAGGTACCTATTGATGTAAGAAGCAGAGAAAAAAATTAAACTGTTTGGTATAAATCTCCGCTATATCAAATTAAGGCTTTATGTAGGTCTCTGGTAGCTAGCCAAACTACTTGTTTAAACTGTGTTACAACTGTATCAAGTACATGGAAGGACTGTTTAAAAGAATTATTAACTTTAATGGTATTTTATAATACAAACATTTCCAAGGAATGTGGTGTGACACTGTTATTAATAGAGTTTTATGTTTAAAAATGAGAAGGGGCCATTAGATCATCCAGTCTAACCACTCAAACCTGACACATTGCTCCACACATACTACCTCCCAAATCAGAACGGTAGTCATGGTTAGTGCAGTGACATGCTAAATGTGGCTATGCTGCTTCCATTTCAGGAATCAGCATACATGGAGCAGTGTGGTGTTGCAAAGTTTGTAGTACTACAAAGGACTATGGGTAGCCACACATTCAACTCCCCTGGCTGCAGCATGGCAAAGTTGCCACAACTGCATGCTCTTTAGCCTAAGGGTGATAGGAAGATGCTCCTTCGTTCCTCCCACCTCATCCTGCCTGTACACGGGAAGTCCCAGTAACAGGCTTCCTCTATTAATTGTTGCCATCATGGCTGTAAAGTCCAGGTGACAAGCAGCTGCAGCCCAAACACTGCCATGCTCTGACTGCCTTTCAGGCCTTTAAATGTGCGAGCAGCATACAGCTCGAGCCCGGTGACAAACATCAGGATCTGGCTACCTGTTGCCCGCATGGAAGGAAAGAGGGAGAGCAGGGGACTGCAGGGTTTCAGGTGGGCCAGCAGCCTGGGGTCTGAGGATGCTGCTGGCAGGCATTCCCATGTTCCCATGTCCCAGGCTACCAACCTCCCCAGAACTTTAAAGGACACATGGCCAGCCCAGAAGCCTTTCACAGTTCACAGGCTGCCCAACAGCAGGGAAGGCCAGTTTTTTTTTTTTTTGCCTAGGCAGCCCCTGCCACCTCCAGGCAGCAATGGGGACAGGGCAGCCTGCAAGCTGCCTTGACAGCTCACTGCTGGTCAGGATGTCAGGGAGGCAGCTACTCTTGCTTCCTCCCTCCCTGTTGAAGGTGGGGAAGGAGAGCAGAGCACTGCTATAGTAGAAGGTTTAAGACTTGACCTGATGTTAAATATGTCCCAGCAAGATAAAGAAGTTGCTGTCTGAAATAACTAGTTTGTCATAGATCTTCCATTTTTGTGGAGGGTTGGCCATTTTTATCTAGAGACAAATTCCTTTAATGTTTGGCATATTACAATTTGTGTTTGAAAACTCACACATAGCATGAGACATATGTAACATCTGTGAGAGCGCCAGCATGGCAAGTCTAAATTACAGACAAATTGGAGAAATCAGTATCTGGGACTACACAAGTGCCTGGAGAAGACAAGAACCAGGTATGTTGCCTTTCAGTTCTGTATCCTATACTGAAATTCTCTGCCTTCTTGTAAGCATGTCTTAAATCCCCAGTTTTACAAACACCTAAGCACATGTATAAGTACTTGCATAAGTTGCTTTTAACTTGTATGAGCCTATATTAATTAACATGGTTATGTTCACAAATAAACACAAGTGTCTATAGGATCAGGGGAGTTGCAATTTAATTATACATTGTTACAAAACATAACAGCCCAGAAGCGGACCACTGAAAAATAGTGAGAATATCTGAATTACAAAATAAAGCAGGATTTTGATTAGTCTGCAAGAAAACTTACGTTCATTTGCTGACGTTTTTGCTTCAATACTGACCAACAGCTTGAAGCTACTGCCTAAATATAAAAATACATTATTAAGTAATTTCTACAGAAGAACTGATTTTCCATTTGAAAACAAATAATATATAAGAATGTTGACAGATGTAACACTTAGAGCTCTTCAAATGCCTTTGGAGTTTTAAAAAAATGGTGGAAGTGCTACAAAAATAACCATGAAGAAAACAATACTATTTAAAAAAGTGTGCATTCTCTATGGAGGACAACATGGGAGGGCTTGGTCCTCCAGCATCTCACAGTGCTCTGCGCTCCCCTGTCCCTATGGGCGGGAGGGGGACCAGAACTGCAGCCTCCTCTCCCCGCACAAGTTTTTCCTGGTGCTAGCAGCAGGAGAGCGCTCCAGGAGAATAAAGGTGGAGTGCGCAGGAGAGATCCACTAACAACTGACTCTGCTTGCTCTTAGTTACCACTGCAGGCCCTGGTCTCCCAGGTTTGCTGAAATCTGGGACTTTGCTCTGAACCCCCAGCCCCTTGGAGCTTTTGAAAACTGTGGCTGTACTCTGTACCCTCTACTATCCTGGGGGCTCTTGTGACCTGATGCTCCACTCTGCAACCCCTGGTCCCCTGAAGTGAGTTTGAAGTTCTCCAGACAGAGGACATGGCAGAGTCTGCAGCTGAAGCACTTCAAATATTGTATCAGTCCATACTCTGAGATATTATATTTGAAGTTTTGTATTTCCATTTCTCAGTTTCATGGGTGGGAAATAAAAGTTAAAAACCATAACATGTTTCCTGTTGTGAATAAGTGGCTTGTATCAGTTCATAGTACTTGTCATTTTGAATTAAAAAAAATTAAAATATATATTTTCTTTGCCAATTTCTGCCACATTTTGCTGTGGTGCCAAATTGTATTTGAATTACTAAGCCTCTTATGTATTTTTCAAAATTTAGCATTAGAAAGGCTTATTCAACTTAGATGCACAGGGTATTGCATGCCAAAACGGGTATGGCTCCAAAAACTGTAACTCTTCCAGATATTTAAAAATGTAACAAATGTACACATTGTAATGTCCTTTCACTTTAAGAAAAACATACTTGAAATAGTTCTAGATACAGCTGAGCCGTTTTGTCCAAATATGGATTTGAACAATACAATATGCTGACAAATCTAGGCTTCTCCCTCTCAGTGGCATGGAACAGAATTCTCGATACCAGGAGGTAATTTATGACTCACAAAAACAGAACTTTACCGCATTTACTACAGAAATAAATGTATGCACTTTGCCTTTTTCCATAGAGGAAATATTTCAATTGAAGTTTATAGTTACAAATGAATATGGTACAGCATCATGTCTACAAATGATCAGCTGGCCACGGCACAGCCTAACAAGCAAAACAGGCTGAAACTTCTATGGAAAAATTGAAGGGTGTTTCTGACTATGTTAGACACATTTCAATGCCTGTATGTTTTCTTGCAATTCCAGCCACTTTTCATATCTTGTTAGTAACATTTTGTGACATGAACTAATATATTCTCCCATAATTCTGTATATCATCTCTCAAAGATAGCTAACCTAAACCAGTCTTGCAATATTCTCCCTGTCCATGACAAGTAGTTATTTTTGCAGGACAAGCAAAGCAGTTTTCTCCATTATAAAGAATCATCCTAACAAAGAGTTGGCAAGTAGGTTGTGTGTCTCATCTAACAAATTTTAAATTACGATTTTGAAAAGATAATATCCAAAGTAGTCATTTTTGCTCAGGAATATTTTAGAAATGAGTTATGTGGGAAGATGCATTACCTTTTACATGAAGAGGTAGTGTGGTTTCTCTAAATCTGAGTTGATGCCACTGGCAGGACAACATGAGGAATCCTGCATTGTGGTTATTTGCATAACATGTAACCAATAGATAAAAAGATGAGTTCTAGTCTCATTAGTACTGGCAACTTCATTTTTGAGTGTAAAATATTTATTCCCTAAACTATGTTTTCAACATGTTTAAAAAGAATGCTGACACTGTCATATTATTATGACTTCGATCTGCCATGATTGAGAATCAAGGTATATGAAAAAATACAGAAAATTACTTACAGTTTCTTTAAAGGAAGAATTTAGCCAGCGGTTGTTCACCACATTCTGTATAGCTATAGGTGGATTCTCTAAATCTTCAAAAGAATCCATGAGTATAAAATCCAGAACAACATCATAAAAATTTAGATTTTTCACCTGCATTAAATTACAACAAGATCTAAATAATTATACAGCACAGTGTTCCAATTCCATATCTAAAACATTCAGATTTATCATAGTTTCTCATTTAAAGGTATTTAACTAATAGCACAATCTGTGCTTTTGAAGCTGCAATAAGGGATTCATGTTTCTCTAAAGAACATAAACCATACAAGGAATATGGTTCATCATAATATGCTTCACAATATTCCAAAAATATGAATTACTAAACAGCAGTTTCAAGAGAAAAAAAGACTGCATAATTAGGTTTAATGATAAAAAAAAAAATTGGAGAAATCCAGACTCACCCCTCTAGCAGCAAGTTCCATTTCAGTATTATCCCAATGGTCAGTTTGCTCTAAAAAATATATCATTTCATCAAAAACATCTTCAAATTTTTTTGGATTCTGGAATTAAAACCAGTAAATGCCAATTAAAACATTACTTAATTTTAAACTCTTAAAATGACAATTTTTTTTCTTTTACTTGCTCCAGAATTATAATAAATAACTTTGGAAAATGAACTTTGATCTCTGGTTGAAGTAAATAGACTAATAAAAAGGATTTTTACCTTTCGCGCTCTCACAATTAACGCAGACAAAATTTTTCTTCCACTTTCAGCAAGAAATATTCTGTTGGCTGTCTCTGAAAGTATTACCTGGAAAATATTCCAGATGGTAGATATATAAATCCATAATTAAAAAAAAAAAGAAATGCACCAAATAAGGATAGTTATTTTAATCAAATCCATCAAATAAGTGATGCTTGATAATATTAACACAGCATGCAAATACCCAGTGCTTCCAACCAACTTCTGAAGTGAAGTCCCCAGGTTACTAATAAAAGTAGGTCTTCCATGCAATAATGCATATCACTATCAATCAGATCTTTTCTTTTGTCCTTCAGCTTTGTTCATCGACATTTATTGGCCCTGATTAAGACAGATACTTAAGCATGCTCCAACAAGTTGTAGAAGCTTGACCGGAACAAGAATACATATAAGTAAGTGATATAGATAAAAGTCAAAATGCTTTAAAAGTGATGAAAAAAAATCTCTGCAAGTTGAGCAGAACTTATATTCTGCAATCTCTATCATCATTTTAGAATGACCATTTATAAGTAGTACAATACAAATTATGAGTCACTGAATAAGTAGGATGAGATTTTCAGAGTCAATTAGCTTTGGCCTAACACTGCTCCTTCTGAAGTTATACAGCATTGCACTTGAAAGGGAGACAGAGAATGCATGTGCGCTAATATGCACAAACAACAGTGATTTACCTGAAAAGCCTGTCGAATACAGTGAAGCTTAGCAAGAAAGTCACTGTCTCCCAGACATTCAAACATTTCAGTCCTACATAAAATGGAAAAAAGTTTTAAAGGATACTTAAAGGACGAAGTATAATAGAATTCAAACAGAACCTAGAAGATTATCCACTACTGATCGTTTTAATGCATTTTCATGTAGAATAGTTATCTTTATTTTTTGCTACTTTTGGCAACTAGCAAGTAGATATAAAACAATACCTTAATACTCTGGAATATATTTTGCCCTCCTCTGCTAAGTGCATGGCTTCTTCATATAATGGACAATGGCAAAGAGTATCTAGACCATAGGTATTTCGGATCTCTCTGTGCTCCGTAAGCTGAAAGACATTTTTGTTAAGTTCAGTAACTAAACTTGCTAAAAAGTTTTTTGAAAGTTAGATAAATTAATTGAAATTTTGCCTGCTATTCTACTGAAAACTATATTCTCTCTCACATCTGTTTAAAAAATTACTTGTCAGCACTCTATGCTAAAAAACAGAATCCAAACACACTCAACATAATGGATATTACCCTGTACCTTTTACACTCAGAAAACTATATAGTTTCACATACAAGCTTCCAAAGAGTTAAATTGTAGGATAGGCTTAGATTAGTCTTGTTTTGATTTTGACTAGCTAAATCCATAGGGTATGTGGAAAGGAAATGTCAAACGGCTGTTCACAAAGAATAAATTGATGAGGCACGAAAAGGGGGCAGGAGGATCGTACTGTACAGATCACAAGAAAAGCTGGGAAATGTTATAAAAAACAGAGTCATTTTCTGGTAAACATGGCTGTTAATTACTAAAACACATTTCCTATGACATTATTACAAACCAGTGCTTAATTTTGGGTTCCTAAAAGGTTTTCCTCTGCAGTTTCTAATCTTTTAGTTTAAACCATTATTACAGAAATATTTTTTTTACTCTTACCCCATAAGTGGTTATTATAACAAACAAAAATAGCTAACAATTAAAAAATAATAGTAACATCAGGAATTCTTGTAAGAAGTATCCTATTTCAAACAACGTAGCAGTAGCTGGTATGTTATAGTTACAAGTTCTATAACAAACATTACATCTTTTTTATTAACTATCCAGAAAACTGTAGATACACACATTCCTCAGTTTTGTAAATGGCTGGAATACACATTCCATCAACTTTTTAAAAATTCAGATTACTGTAGATTGCCAAAAAAGGAATTGCATTTTCAGGCTTCAAAAGCATAATTCAGAAATATCTTTAAATAATTAAAAATATATATATATTCTATATAGGTTTCTAACATAACTGCTATGTTCTAGACACATCAGAAGTTAGAAAAAATTACTGTAATATTAAAATCTAAGATAATAGTACAACATCAAAATCCTGAAATTAATATAAAAGTCTGATGGACATGTATTCAATTTCTATTTCTTGGATGATCAGCTATTAGTGACAAGCAGAAAAAGCTGTATATACACATAAGAAAATATACTTCTAGGGATACCATGTTTTTGGTCCTTACATAAGGAAATTCCTGTGACTACAATGGGAATTTAAGTAAAGATTATGTACCCGTATGCACCGATTGGCAGATGAGCACATAAGCATATGTTTAAGGTACACCGACTTCAATGAACTGGTCAGGAATTTTCAAACAGAACAGATTTTCATCAGAATATAGTTTTACTGAAACCAAACATTTCAAACTGAGGACTGGAGGCAACCCGTTGGATAATGCCTCCAGTGCCCTGCTATCACAGGTAACCATGTCATATGATCCCATTTATAAATCGATCTATCTCCATCTTGAAAGTAGCTGGGTTCTTGTGTACCCCCATTACTATTGCAAGACTGGTCCCCGGCAGTTTACATGTATTTACAATTGTGCCAATTTTGTCTTTTAGTTTGATATATTTAGTTGATATATTTACAAAACAATAACCACATCTTGTGAGTGGTCAGGGGCCACATCATATGTCCCCACTCTTGCCTCTTGCCATATAGGCTGCATGGATTTCCTGGTCTCCCCTTAAGCAATGCCCCACCCTCAGGGGCAAGGGCAAGGGCAAGGGCAAGGGCAGAAGCCAGAGAAGGAAGGGGGAGAGGGAGCCAGAAACCCCAGCACCAGCAGTGGGGGAGGGGGAGGGGAGTGGCATCTAGGTGGGAGGCTGCAGGCTGCAAGTTAACCATGGGCCACAAGTTGGACAGTCCTGAGTTACAGGAAACAAATCCAGTTCTTTGCTTCTTTTGTACGATGTACTCTCCTGGTCATTCTCTGTATGAGTTCATTGTTCTTAAACATGGGTGACCAAAAGTCTATGTAACATACCAGATGAGATTTAACCAGGGCCTTGTACAATGACACTGATACTGCCATTTCTTTACTGGAAATAATTTACTCAGTACATCCTATTGGAGTGGGAGGAGTGGGGACATATGATGTGGCGCAGGGGACCTACATTTGCCTATTTCACTGCCACATTATACTCAGCGATTCAAAATCATCTTACGATCAGCCAGTACACCCAGATTTTCCTCTTCCTCAGTCATTTCCAACTGATGAGATACCATCTTATGTCAGAAACTCTTTTTATTAAGAGTAGCTTCTAAGTGCAGGACTTTACTTATCAGACTGTTGAATTTTCTCCAATTTGCATTACTCCAGGTTGTGTGGTGAGAAAACTCTTCCTGTTAATATTCAAATCTTCCTATCTGTTGATGATACCTCCCAGCTCTGTATCATCAACACATTTCATTAAAATTATGCATACTTTTGTTCTGTCATTAATTAAATTATTAAATTAGATTGGTCCCAAGACTGATCCTTAAGATCTCACTAATAACAACTTCCTTCAGCCAGCAATTCAATTTTCAGCACAATGTACTGTCATTTCCTTTTAAGCCAGTTTACCCACGTTAACAGTTTGGGCATTAACACCCATCCTCCTGTGAACACTACATCAAATGCTTTACTGAAATCAAATAGATGCGTTTCCTCAGATAAGAAAAATCGGTTTTGTTTTCAAGATACCCAGTTATTCTAGAAAAGTCTCAATTCGATAAACTGATGCTTCTTTTATTCTCTTCCATGCTTTTAATCATCATTTCCTTTACATTTTATTCTCAAGCCTTGCATATTATTGAAGTCATACTGATGAACCTATAGTTGATTGTAGCATCTTTCTCCCCACCTTTCTTCATATATACACTGTTTTCAGGTTGTCCATTCATCTGGTACCATTCCCAACATTAGAGATTTACTGAAAATTCTTTTGACTAGACTGCATTTTCTGTGCCATTTTTCTGTATTATAAGGATAGACATGGTCTGGTCTCTGTAAATTGAGCTCATTAACCTCTGAGTTTTGCTTCCAACTTAAACGTAGCAATTTACATATCCTCCTTCTCATTAGCCAGCCTCTCTCACCTCATGTTCATCACCATCCTCACTCACAACTGAGCTAAAGTATTCATTTAGTTTTGGGGTGATGGCTAAGTTGTGTAGAAACTCCTCCAACTTCACTGCAAAAAAGCCCCCCCTTTGTTTCTTGTTTTCATTTTATTTGTGTAGCCAAAGAACTGTTTTTTACTATTTGAAGTCTAACTTAGCTTGTCATTTAGTAATTCTAGGATATAGCCTTCTGTACTAATCAATTCTTGTTTCCATTCTTTGTAGGCTCTCTGCATTTTTGATTTAAGGAAATCCCAAGCCATCTCCATATTCAAGCCCTTGGGTGCTTCTCAATTTACCAAAACTGAGTTAAAAAAAAAGGAATCTCTTTTTTGTTAGCTGAATGACTAAATAGCAAAAAAATCTGTTGGCTATTATATTCAGGAATAATGGGTCCCCACCTTTATTTGTGGCATAATTCCTGTTGGTATTTCTCTCTCATAACATTGGTTCTAACAGTAGACCCCTGCTTCCATAGAACCTCTTGCCAGTCTTCCTTAAAGTGATTTGGAGCCAAATAGTTCTATCCCTTTTTCATTTCTTTACAGTTAATGACATAATTAACTTATTATATTATTCCACCGCCATTACCTTTATTTTCCAAAGGCAAGTCATGGGATATGATCCTTCACTCTACTCCCCACTGGTGAGGCCTCACACCTCACTTGTGTCCAGTTTTGGGCACCATACTAGAAGGCTATGGACAAGTTGAAAAGAGTCCAGAGGAGAGCAAAAAAATATTAGAAGTCTTGAAAATATGCTAGATGAGGAAAGTTTGCAAGAATCAGGATTAATTAGTTTAAAGAAGAGAAGACTTGACAGAGGTTTTTGATAATATCCTTCAAATACAAAAAAAAAGATTTGTTATGGGGAGGATGTTCTTGTATTCATTCACAGGGCACAGGACAAGAGTAATGAATAGTCTTAAGCTACAAGAAAGGAGATTTAGGCTGCGTATTAGGAAAACATTTCAAACTATGAGTCTGGTTAAACAATGGAACAGATTACCTAGAAAGGTCATGGAACTTCTGGTATTGGAAGTTTTAAGTGCAAGGCAGACAAATATTTATGTGGGATTGTTTACACAAGGATGCATCTGCAGTGAGCTAAGGGGCTGGACTGGAAGTCCCTTCCAGCCTTAGTTTCCTAATGCTATGATATCTTTCTTAATTGAGCAGAACATACTTGTTTTCAAGTTGCAATTGTTATTCTACCCTATTTATTATATTTATATAATATTCAGTTGCCCATTCTGCACCAGTAATCCTAGGTCCTCCAATAATGCACTGGTCCCTCACTAACGGACATCGCAGTTGTTTTTCACTAACCACAACCAATTTCCCTTCACTACTGCTTATTCAACTGGTGCTATCATCAATAATTATACGTTCTTTTCTTGCTGTCCATCTCCCGCTTTCTGGCATTCATTAATCCATTGCCATATTCTCATTTACCAAAAAGAGTTCTCTTTCCATTAATGGCGCTCAATCAAAACCCTCTCAAACCATCTCAAAGCCTTCTTTATAACACCAACCTTCATTATCTTATCACACTATTGTCCTTCTCCTCTAGAGACCATTATAATTCCATTGAAGATCACTTTGGCCTGTACTTCTTTTAAGCAACTCTGGTCCTTCACTCTTCATCTGCTTCAGTCAACATCTGGAAGTGTCATATGTCACTAAGCGAAGAGGCTTTTTCCCACTCCATCACAGTTCTTTGCAGCTTCAAGTCCAACATTTTGTATCCTTGGTCCTTATAGGCAGCACATGTTTTCCTGCCTCCGTCTGTCCACATGGTGGGTCTCTAAGTTGTCAGTCACAAAAATGCAGCTCTTCATGGTACCAGTATGAGTCTCAGGTCCTCTCCCTTTAGTTTTCTCTTCTGACATCCTATCTTCT